AGCCATTGGTCCCGAGGGGGAAGCCGCAGTGTGATCCGGGCCACCAGGCCGTGGGCGCAGGGCTCCCTTCGGGCAGGGCAGACGCCGGGTCCTCGAGGAAGGCTCCGTGCACATCACCTGAGAAACACCAGCCCTGTCCGGGGAAGGGAAGCAGCTCTCGCAGCTCTCGGAGAGAGGAGGCTGCGGGTGGTCTCAGACCTCGGGGGCTCCTGCCTCCTTCGGAGAACCATGTGACCGGTAAGCACCGCCTTTTCCGTCTGGATCCAACCCTTTCCAAACGCTCAGTGCTACGCATCTGGGAGCTAACAAATGCTGCTTACTTGGTGGGGGGCAATTTTAAAAACACTCCGAGGCCGCCGTGAAGCGGCCAAATGACTTCACCTCCAAGTGACATTCTCAAAAGGGAAGTTTCCTAAACAATTTTTTCCAAGTTTATTTATTTACCCTCGAGAGAGACAGAGAGAGAGCAAGCAGGGGATGGGGCGGAGAGAGAGGGAGAGAGAGAATCCCGACCCGGGGCCCGAACCCACAAAGCGGGAAATCACGACCCAAGCGGAAACCAAGAGTTGGACACCCGGGCGCCCCTAAAAGAGAAGTTGTGTTAGTGAGAGAAAATGTCTTTGGAAAAGGGAGCATATGAGATGAAAAGTGTGTATTTCCAATGATCTCATCTGATAGCAGAACAGGAGTCCACAAGCTCTGAATTTTCCAGATGTACTTAAAAAAAAAAGAAGTAAACAGTCAAAACTAGACCTCATAAGGTCACTTTTTCTGAGTTCGGACAAATAAAAAAAGAAACATCTAAATCTGACGTTCAAACAAGGCTGTCCGGTGTGATCCAGCCTTCTTCCCTTAACGGCCCATTTATCGGTGCCCCAGATCCTACGGCTTGCCCCTCCCTTCCTTGGCTCCTACTGGGTCTCACAGGCAAATGCCTCCTTCCTCCGTCCATCAGTGTTCTGTCCAAGGACCCTTACTTTCCCGAGCCTAAAATAACGGCGTACGCACGTGGAAAGGCTTAGCGATTAAAAAAAGTGATCGTTAGGATTTTATTACATCAGAAACTCAGCCTATAAATTTTCTACAACTAATCACCGAGAAAAGGATTTTTTCCCCTCTGTACCTCTATTTTTTGTTATTATTATTTTTTTGAAGTCTTAAGGGTTTCTCTATCTACTATAAGGTAGAAAATACTCTCAGCCAGACCCAAGACCCGGGAGGGACGTGCAAAATCAACAAAGAGGGTAATGAAGTAACCCCCAAACCGAACGCTCTAGCCCTGCCGGGGGAGGGACCGAGGTGTGGGATAGAGAGAGTCGCCTGGCCCTCTGGAATGTCCTTATCAACCCGGGCCCAGAGGAAGGGGATGTGCATTGGAAGAAACCCCATCCCGCTACTCAAGCCTCTGGCCTTCCAGCCCTGGGCCACGACTGCCCAAGTTGGGAAAGGCCTGGACCCTTCACTCCAGCCCTTCTGAGAACCCTTACTTGTTCGGCCCCCTCACTCCCTTCCTGCTCGTCTTGTCTGGTCGGAACCACTCTGCCTCTCTCTAGAGCCTGCTGCACGGGGCTCTGCTCATAACCAGAGGGCAGATACACCGCAGGGTGGTCTCTTCCCTCTTCTCATTCCCAGGCCACTAGGAGACGCTCTCTGTGCTGCAGGCTCTGTGACCACCGGCAGGATCAAAGGAAAGTGTTAGCACCTCTGCAGTCTGGTTCCTGTGTTTTGGTTGACATTCATAATCTTGTTTTTAGAAATTCTTGGCTTTTATTACTACTTTTATCAATTTCTTTTCTATCCTAGAAAGCTTAAAATGCTCTCTGCCTTAAAAAGAAAGGGTTTGAGGGACGCCTGGGTGGCTCAGTCGGTTAAGCGTCTGACTTCGGCTCAGGCCATGATCTCGCAGTTCGTGAGTTCGAGCCCTGCATCGGGCTCTGTGCTGACAGCTCGGAGCCTGGAGCCTGCTTTGGATTCTATGCCTCTCTCTTTCTCTGTCCCTCCCATGCTCATGCTCTGTCTCTGTCTCTTGATAATAAATAAACATTAAAAAATTAAAAAAAAAAAAGAAAAGAAAGGGTTTGACTGTTTCACAATGAACACCTTCTAATTTGCAGATTTAATAACATACTCACCTGGAGGGCTCCTGCTCTGTGACAAGCCGCCTGAGGCCCCAAGCCTTCTTTGGTCGTTGTCAGACAGCAGAGAGGAGTATTCCTCACCCAGTGCCCTACTCTCCATGCCAGGTGCACAGGCTGGCCTAATTTCTGAAATCAATTATTTTCTAAACTTACCAGCCAGAAACGGAGCCATTATATATTTCCGAAACTTGGACACCATTACTGTTAGTAGCTTTGCTTACTGGGCTGGAGACACAGAATATAAATACAGATATAAAGATGCCCCAAGTCCTTCCCTCTGCCATAGTGAGGACCCAGCTCCTGTCGACGATCCTAACACAGATCAGGCAATAATCCTTGGGAACTTTTCGTGATGCGCTTGGAACAGGGCTTACTAAGAGATGTTAACTGGATGAGAAACGGGACCCCGGGCTGTGGGCTGTGAACTTAGCTATTACCTGGCACGCACACACTTGCACATACAGTTGTATACACATGTGTGTGCGTGTGTGTGTGTGGTGTCCTAGGGATCACAACAGGACTTGTGTGTGTGTGTGTGTGTGTGTGTGTGTGTGTGTGTGGTGTCCTAGGGATCACAACAGGACTTGGGTATCTCCCCTCACGTCTATGGACACTGACCCAAGCAGCTCGTCCCTCTGCCTCTCTCCCCGCCCTGGCCCCTGGCCCGCCTGTGCTCCAGGGTCATGGGGAAAAGGCATTACAGCCATGTTGTCCGGTGCCCGTCCCCAGAGCAGGACGGCTGTCCCCAGACATCAATGCCAAGTCCTCCAGGAGTGAGGGTCCTGGGTTGGTGGCCCCCCGCTGCCCGAGGCCTGCCCGTAACTGACTACAGACACCCCACCTGCGTAAGAACAGGAACACTCCCGCTGCCAGTGAGGCTAGGCCTTGGGCACGGCCCCGGGGCACGAGCGAGCAAAGACACGGGTCTCAGTACCCACACCTGCCGCACAGGGACGTGGTTTCTGAGTGGGGGGGGGGGGGGGGGCACCACGGCGCGCACGTGGGGTGGATGACTCACACGAGGGGCTGGCCGCACCCCCCGGCCGGCTTCTCTGGGGTCACTTGACCACTCGTGACCGTCTCCCTCAACGTGGGGACGGTGCCGCGTCACCTCCCCCGTGCCGGCGCGTCTGGCAGGGCCCCACGGGACCGCGGAGAGAGCTCCAAGTCTGGGGCTGCGCCTCCTTGCGAAATGAGCGAGTGCCGGGAAGGGGCAGAGTCCCAGAGTACTTCTCACGGCATGTGTGGCGCTCAGAAGGGTGCTGTTTACGAAGGCTGCCAATCGACGCGCCAGCTTTTCCTCCCTATCAAAGTTTTCAAGATAAACCGATGCCCGGAATAACTCTCCTGAGTTAACTCAAGTATCTGTACCTGGTAAGCTTAAACTGACGGTGACTTATGTAGCCACACTGTCGCCAAAGTCGGGGTCAGTTAGCGTCGACCAGCCAGACCATGGCTCCAACGAACAGAGATAATGTTTCCATAACTAGTATGAGGACCTCGTTTATTGACCTAGTGTGTGGGAAGAAAGCCCATTGAAAGCCTCTCAAAAACAAAGTCTGATCTGATCGTCGTACGTGTTTTGAAAGAGAATCCTTCTTTTAAGTGGCTATAAAAATTATTAGTGCAGCAAGCATCAAAAATTACAAAATCTATTTTTGGCCGAATCGGATTGGCTCTTTCCAGGAGATCTCCCCGAAGGGCCCAACCGAGGAGGTTTAAGAGTGTTGGCAATAAAGGAAATAATCTCGTCACGTTAGCTAACGTCCCTGAAGATTAACAGGAAACCACCGAGGAAGTTACAGAAGTTATTTTTCTAAAGAACAGGCCTACGGCCTAACTCTCACCAACACCTATCTGAACGCGAGCGATGTGATTTACCAGGGAGTGCGACAGCAGGTTTGAGGCCAGCGCCAATCGGACGGGACAGCGTGGCCGCACAGACCAGCAGGGCGAGGGTCAGCTACGACCGGGTCGGACTGCAAGTGGCCTCTCGAGGACGCGGCCTGACTTGGGAATCAGTTAGGACCACGCCGGGGCGAGCTCCCCCGGGCGCGGGACGCCGGGAACTTCTCGCCTCGCACCAGAATGGGTCAACGAAACCACTTGGGAAACACGTTCTCTCGCACCTCTTTAAAATACTTCTAAGCATCAACTTTATTGACAGTGAGCTCAGAGAGGTTCTCCCAGTATCTGGCCTGGGGTGACGCCTCCGTTCCCAAGAGGAGGCCCTGCCGGGGGCGGGGTTACTTATTTTTGCTGAGGGTTCTCTGCTTCTCCGCGTGCGCCACCACCTTCTCCTCCACGTAAAGACCCTTCCGCTTACGCACGGCGTCCATGTACTTCCGGGCCTGGTTCTCGGAATCCGCCTTCTCCCCGAAGTGTAAGTACTCCTCCTCGGTGGTTGGTACCCAGAAGGGGTCGCTGGGGATGACCTGGCGAGAGAAGGGGACAGAACGTGCCAGGTCAGGCAAGCATACTTGGAGTTGAAACAGCCTTGCCGGATTCGTAGCGCGAGGCCGAGGAACCAAAGTTAAGCCGCGAACAGCCAATGCTGGGAAGGGCAAGGAACAGTCGTGAGGGATCACGGGACGCGTGAACAGAGGGAAGCAGCTTCAACAAACCCGTAAGGTGCACGACGTCACCCCGAGGAACAAGGGCGACTCCCAACTTTGAATAACGTGACGGAAAAGCTCCCCCTCTCGCTCGGAGGCATCTGGGTCCCAGCGGGGTCTTTTCCTCCACTTTGCCTTCGTCCCCAGCAAAGACCAACGCCCGTAAGCCCACTTCCGGTCACGCCGAGCTTTTGCTCCCAAACTCCGCGGTGTGACCGGTGAGCCGGGCCGCTTGGCCCATGTTCCGTCGGGACGAGCGGCAGTCAGCACTGCCCTCCTCCCTCTTTGGCCTGGGCCCCCGCCTGCTGGCGCCCTCACGGTGAGGGGGACACGTCCAGGGGAGCCGCCTCCTGACGGGAGGGAGAGGGCAGAGCCTGGGCCCCGGGGAGGGGGGCGGCGGGGGGCGGGGCTGGTCTGTAAGTAGTGACGTGGGGGTGCCCAGCCCCTCTGGGATGAGCGGCTGCCGGGTCACGAGGCCCACAGCGATGGCCACGCTGGACACAGACTTCCCTGAGGTCCAGGACAGAGGGGGCGGACAGTTTCCTGCAGGCAGAGAAGGTTCCACGAGCCGCACACTCGTGGCCTGTCTCTGCCTCCTCGCCAAGGGTTCCCCCAGGATGTGACAGGTAAGTGTGAGAAGAGAGAGGACCGGGGGACAAGGGTCTTCTTCCCCTCTCCACTAGAAGTGCACAGTCCACCCCGTCCCTCCGCGTCACTTACGGAAGCGGCCCTGACCCGGCCCTGCGGCAGGAGCCCCACGGCCTGGCTGGTCTCATTCTGGAACGTGGCGGCAGGGGCTCCGTACCCTCCACGGTCGAGACCACACTCTCCAAGGTCAGCCTGACAGGTAATGACAGGGTGAGAGTCTGGCCTTCACACACCTTATCTGGTTTGTCGTTTTCTCTCATTTCTCGATTCAGGAAAGAAAGGGGTGGTATTTACTAAGTGGCCTCAAATCCTAACGCTTTTTAATTTAAAATCTAGAAACGGCGGAAAAGGAAGTAGATGCTCTTCAGCACCAGAAATCGAAGGGTCTGGTCTGTGAACCGGGAGGAGGAGGAGGGGAGCCCACAGTAGTAAACGGGGGTAAAAGCCCTGTCCGCGTCCCACAGGGCGCCAGGCCAGGTCCGCTGCCCGCTCAGGACGGGCCCCAGCCACACAGCCCAGGCCCTCTTTCTGAAGCTGGAAGAACCACGTGTGCCCTGGGCCGTGGCTACCACTGGGGGACAGAGGGTGGGATGGATCGTACCGGGCCCGTGTCCGCGGTCCTGCGCCATCCGCCCTGGTGAAGGCACCGAGCTGAGCAGCTGCGGAGCTGTGGTGCTTGGGAGGGACAGGTGACTTGGAGATGCCCCAGGGTGACGCGGGGGAAAAGACCCGACTGAACACGGCTTCGCACAGGGCACGACAGAAACCCCCACCCCAATCAACAGTAACCAGACTCAACAGAGGGAGCATTCGTAACCAAGTAAGAGAGGTGACGGAGTGACAGAGAGTTACAGAGTTCACTTAAAAATTCTCCAAGAAGTAAGGGGCGTGTGGGGGCACTGCATCCATAAAACATGAGACAGCTGTAAAAAAGTAAGAGCTAGAAATCCTAGAAATAAATTCAGACGGAAGGATGAAAAAGAAAGAACCTCGGCAGGCAGGTTAAATAGCGAACCGCTGAGAAGACCCCGTAAATTAACAGACTCGACGTCCAGGATAAAGAACTCCTACAACCCAGCAGAAGAGACGAGCAGCCCAATGGAAAGACGGGTGGAGGACTCAAAGGGATCTTTCTCCAAAGAAGATGTGCGAATGGCCAGCAGGCCACGAAGAGACGTTGGTCATTAGTCACGAGGGAGACGCACATCAAAACCACGATGAAGCTCCACCTCGCACACGAGGGCGACTTCTACCAAACACGGAAAAAAGTGTCTGGTGAGGAGCCGGTGCCCCAGGCCGGGCCCGGTGGCGCTTCCTGGTGAAGACCCCCTTCTCCCTCGCACCACTCGGCCACAGAAGCCCTCTCCTTGGGGGGACAGCCGGGAAGCAGAACGTCCCCCGGGCAGTTGTCCACAGATCGTCTACGCTGCGGGAGACTAGTTTTAAGCTGGTTACTGGCGTCCTCCCCTCACGTCACATAAGCCCATCAGAGCATGTAAAGAAGCTGCATGTTCTCAGCAGGTCTGGGGGGCAGTGGTGAAGAAACTGTTAATCCTATTTACAAAGTGACGCGTTTTTATAAATGTTTATTTATTTTTGAGAGAGAGAGAGAGAGACAGACAGCACATGAGCAGGGGAGGGGCGGAGAGAGAGGGAGACACAGAATCCGAAGCAGGCTCCAGGCTCCCAGCTGTCAGCACAGAGCCCGATGCGGGGCTCGAACCCACGGACCGTGAGATCACGACCTGAGTCCAAGTCGGACGCTCAACCGACTGGGCCACCCGGGCGCCCCTAAAGTGACGCGTTTTATATAGAGCAGCAAGTGAACTATGCTAGTTGAGAGACACCAGACTCAGACCGGTCCTTGTTTCAAAACCGGGAAGACCAGGAGTTTCAAAAGGTCCCGTTCTGTGTGGGCCTCCGCACAGACTCCAGGGTAGACTAGAAGCCTACCTTCTGCACTCACCTCCGTCCTGGGGTCCTCTGGAGTCCCGCTCCAGACCGCCCCTCGCCGGGGGGCTCGGGTGCCCACACCGGGCCGTGCGCTACAGAATGGCACCCTCGAGGCCACAGGGCAGAGCTCGCATCAGTTTGGAAGAAAAGGTGCTATTTTCTAACTGGTTCACCCAGAATTCATCTGCCCACAGCGAGAATGTTGTTTTGCAACCCCACAGCCTGGAGGGGACGGCATTTTCTAGCGCACGGGAAGGAAGGCTCCCAAGTGCCAGCTGCTGTCCTGGGCATTAAAAACAAAAACAGAAAGAGGAAGAGGAGGAGGAAAGGGGACAACAGCCCAGAAGGGAAGCGCGTGGGGAGCCCCGTCTCAGGTCTGTGCCCAGCTCTCGCGAGGACCGTGGCTGGCGGGTGGGAGACACCGCGTCCGGAATGAACTTCTTCAGCGCTACTGTGCTCAGAGCCGCGGCCTCCTCACCCCGGGTGAACTCCAGCCCGCCCCCCGCGTGGTCTCGGCATCGAGCAGCCAGGCTTGAGGTTGTGCTGACATGCGTGTAGAACTCCACTGGGTGGGAATATTTTTCTCTCTGTGCCTGTTATTAGCTCCTTTTCTTCCCTTTTCACAGAAGGGGTAAAACCCAGAAATTATGAGATTGCTGACTTCAAAGGTTTCCTCATGGAAAATGCCTGTAATTTTATTTTCTCTATTTTTTGAAGCACTTTCTCTCAAAAGCTCTTGATTGTAAATTATATGGTGTGATGGAACACAAATGGAAGAAAGTGGCTTGGAGCGAGAAGCCAGAGCTCAACGACTGCGTTATTTCTAAACCCAACCAGGGGGGAGGACGGAGACAGCCAAAAACGATCACATCAATGACATTTAATTATAACGTCGTTTTCAAGACTTTCGCAGATTTGAAGCTGTCGGGAGTGGGGACTAGGACAGGTGGCAGGGGGCCGGCAGACGGTGGTACAAAACTGGAGCGGGCTCTTCTCGACCGCGCTCGTCTCTAAATTTACCAAGAGACTGACTTTTAATAACCAACTAAGACAGAAACTAGTATTTAAAAAAAAAAACAAAACAAAACAGCTACTATTAAGTACGTAAGATTTCTGGCCTTTCTTTTGTGAGTGAGAGAAAAAGCAGATGGAAAAGTCATCGTGGTTTTCACGTTAACAAAAATTGCCTATGTGGTAAGAACCTGCTGTTCCTAAGTATCTCTTCTCCTGTTTTCTTTGCTAACAGGTATTTCAGGCTCGGGATGAGGGGAGGCACACGCTTTCTGTAAAGAACCAGAGTGCAGGCCACACGGTCTCTGGACAGGACCTGCAGAAAACACGTCTGAGAATGGGTACGACCGTGTTCCGGGAAACTTCGTTCACCGGAACAGGTGACGGGCCATCGTCTGCTGACTCCTGATTAGTCGGGCTCCATTGCCCAACCTCCTGGTTAGGCGGGTGCTGTGACATGTGGCCGCGCGACTGGCTGTGGGCACTTGGACATTCAAGTCCCTGCAGGGAGGGCACGCGCCCTCCTCTTCCCGTTCTCCCACTCCCTGTTCCTCCTGCCTGGGACGCGGACGTGTGGTGCGAGGGAGAGCAGCCACTCTGGACCCTCAGCAGAAGCCACGTGCTGACAAAGGAGTTGGAGCAGCCTGGGCCCCCCCCGCCTTCCGCCAGCCCGGCGTGAGCCCCATGCCCCACCAGTGAGTCCGCCCCCACCAGTATTTTCTGGCCGAGCCCCGCACCCCCCCGCCCCCACCAGGGAGTCCCCTCCGCCCAGGCCCCCGCCCCAGAAGAAGACAATCTACTCTGAGAAGGTTTTCACAGAACAGTCTTACCTGCTTACTTGCCAATTAGGAAACAATGAAAACTTCGTAGAGTTTTAAAAATGTGCTTTATAAAACCACTTTCAGGGATAAGGCTGACTGTGAAATGATCACTTATTTTTAGCAAACAGGATATGTGAATTCAGAAACCCAGTTCCTCCAATCACGATGCCCCTACGACAGCTCGGAATCCCTGCTTTGGGTCTGTCCGCACACGGGATCCCCCGGGATCACGAACTTGCACTCTCTCTGTTCTCGTCAAACATACCAGAACCCGGCCTTGTCACTGGTGGGATCAAGGCCACCTTCCTGAGACGGACACCTTGTCATCGGCAAGATGTTCGGACGGGTGAGCTCCAAGTTCTGGGGAGGTTCTCGGAACGGCAGCACCGATGAAGACGGTGCTTTGCCCTCTCGAGGTCACTGCTCTAAGTGGGATAAACCCCCCTTCGGTTCTAAATGTCAGCTGCACTGCCCTGTAATCACGCCTGGTCCCTAAAACACACGGGGGAGGACTCTGGAGACCGTTCCAGTAAGATCATCCCTAATAGACTCACTACAGACGTAGTTCTTCAGAAGCTGCTTGAACAAATCCGTTCTTTGTATCCCTCACTGGTGTTTATTCCTCTGTAATAATCGAGTGCCAAAAACAAAGCTGAAAAGGTCCAAGTTTGGGTAAGTGGGAAATAACTACCCACTTAAGTTCAGAAATTAACAAATAAATGTTTTGGGGGGCACCTGGGCGGCTCAGTCGGTTAAACGTCCAACTTCGACTCAGGTCGTGATCTCGCGGTCCGTGAGTTCGAGCCCCGCGTCGGGCTCTGTGCTGACCGCTCAGAGCCTGGAGCCTGTTTTGGATTCTGTGTCTCCCTCTCTCTCTGCCCCTCCCCTGTTCATGCTCTGTCTCTGTCTCAAAAATAAATAAACGTTAAAAAAAAAATTTTTTTTTAAAAATAAATGTTTTGGACCTCCTGTTTTCTACATGGTGAAACATGGAATGAATGATACCTATTTTGATATAAACCGATAAAACCACCAAAACTTCATTTAGTTTCTAGACAAAGAGACAAAATGAAGAAAATTTCATAGTAAATCCCTGTTAAGATGAAGACTGTACTGATTAAAAGAAAAAAAAGGAGACTACACCAGAACATTAACCGTGGTTCTTTCGAGCATTACGG